TCCTGCACGTGGGTGAGTTAATGAAATCCTTATTTTCTTCCTACAAGACGGTATAGCGCTGACACCTGATTGTCTGGAAGACTGTATTCTTACATGCTACTGGGGCTGCAGTGTTCAAAAACTCAACGAAGCATTGCAGAAACATGTCTACTGCTTCAGAATAAAGACTCCTCAGGCATTAGATGATGCGCTGTACAGCGAATACCTCTATCGACAACAGTACTTGTATCCTTTTTTTTAAGCTGTTTTGACAAAATATGCTGATTTACTGGCACAGAGAGTGTTGAGACTTGCGAACATTCGGCAGTTCTTGGCACAATATATTTACGAACAAATATGATGACAAATATTCTTCATGCAAACGTCACATTTGTCTACAATTACAGCAACACTGATTGTTTTCCTTGACACATACAAAGCATTAAAAAAAATGACAAGAAAGAAAAATATTGTCAGTTACCAGGAGATGCTCAAGTTGTCGATTTTGGCCCGGTGCCTAGATTTCGCTATCCCTTGATAGCGTTGTTGACGTTAGCTGATGAAAAAGACAGAGAAATATATGAAATTGTAAGTAATACAAGAATGTATTTTTGGATTGTGTATTTAAGATCTGAGTGTTTCAAGGGACAGGCACGAATAAAACAGCTTCCTTTTCCTGTCCACTAGAACTTTGTCCCTAACTTTGTTACTGATGGCACCAGGGGAGCGTGGCAGAAGGTTAATTGTTCTCTAATAATTGTGCATGCCATTCAAAGGATGCTTATGATTTTCACAAAGCTCGTGTCTGTCAAGGTCTCTGCGGTAAGCCCTGTGGTCAGATGAACTAGGGTTGTGGTAGGTTAGTAAGCTATTACTCTGATTTTTCTGATCACATAAATCTGTGGTGGAGCTCTTGCGCTGTTCCAACAGCATTGGATTGCTGTTGGCAAGGTAGGAGGATTTTTCTTTTTAATGTCTGGCACAGATATTTGAGCTGATTGCTGACTTGACTGCTAGGAACATAGAAATTACCTTCCTGCGACAGCCCCGAGTCCGCGTAATGCGGTACGTGGTGTCTCACAGCAGCCAGCCCCAGGTCGTTTACAGGAAGGTGTGAAGGTCTTGCAGTAGGCTGATAGGAGACACTCAGCTCCCCAGAAAAGTCTCCTCTTAATCTCTTAAAGTGACTTCAGCTTTCTCACGTGCAGTTCAACATCCCTTCGGAACTCTAAATTGACTGTCTCTTTTTGGAACGATTTGGGACACCCTTTTATCTCCCATCTTTTCATTTCATTGATAATCTGATAGCACGAGCTGCTTGAACAATAGTACAAATGAAGTCAGAAGCAAACTACCTAAATCCACTGGACACTTTTCATTTGGACATTCTTTGTGATCACACCAGTGCCTAAGAAATCTGTTCCCTTCCCAAGTGATGCCTGTCCTTGGCTTCTTGTCACTTGACCTTCCTCCCTCCTGGGTCCACTTGAGATTCGCCCCCCTGGCTATTTCCCAGATTAGTACATCTATAGATGTTTACAGCTCAGAGTAGTTTAATATAAAGAGACTGTAAATTTCATATTTGAACATTTGACATTAGCGTGGACATGAATTTGTAACGCTTCTCTTTTGTGCCTTAGCATAGAAGAAAGGTCTGGAAGGAGAGTGGGGGGAGGTATTTTTCCTCTGGTTTTGGCAAAAAGGAGCATGACTAGAATCTGGTAATATGGCCACAGGAGTTACTCCGCCTGAACTCCTTCCCAGAATTGTATCTGTTGTTGTGGAAACAAGCTTGTAAAATACAAACACAGGGTGGAAAGGGGTCTGTGCCACTGTGGCCAGTATGGCATTACTGCATTATTCCCACATCCGTGCATCCAGCTCCATCGTGGATTATCTGTGTGTCTGTGCATGCACCTATCGCTACAGATGGTGTTCCAATATCTCTTTTCTGGGGGTTCTGATTTTCATCCTGACAGTATTCGTGGCCAGATCACACGTATTTGGTTTTGTGCCATAATTTTCCTCTAGCTCCAGAAAATCAGCATGACTATATATAGGAGTTAGAGAAATTATTTGAAGACTGGCAGGGCTGAAGTGGAAGAAGCCTTCAATCTCCAGCCTGTGTATAAAACAGAAGATCAAGGAGTGACTTGATTATGGTGTACACATATTATTATACCCATTTACAAGAAGGGT